AATTAAAGATTTTTCAAATGTGAGCACGCTTGTGATAGATCAACAAGGAAATTTCTCACTTTTTAGAAACAAAAAATTTTACCATGACAAAAATGCAATCCTATTAATCCAATTCATTAAGAGTTTCAAATTTGAGAATTTTTAGGAAAAAACAATACGGATATTGTTAAAACCAATTTGAATTAAAATAGTCCGAGAAAAAAATCATTTCAAGTCACTAGTTCTTACTTCTAGATGACAAATACCTGTCAAAATTTGATATCTGCATTGTTCTATTTCGACAATTAAATAATTCTTCGTACAAAAACCGCAATTTCAAATCAAGCATTTTCACCCTTAACAAGTCAAAGGTAAAGTCAAAGTAGTTAACACATTAAGACTTGTGCAAATTACATGAAAATTTCAACGAAAGTAATTTGTCACGCTTTCTACTGAATCACCGGCTTAGTACTTATATTCGATTAAGTCTCAAGTTATGTTGTACGTAAATAGAAAATTATTTTGACAACTTTTAGTATGGAAAGGGTATAATTTGCTCGAGTTAATAGTCTTGATTTCTTAAGGTGAAGTGGGTAGATTAAGTTAATGATTTGAGTTTAAACTTAGCGAAATAATTATAAAGGTTTTACGAATAATTTTAAAGTTGTTTTAAGACCGATTAACACAAAGAGTTAGCATCTAACGAGCACACGAGGATATCTGCAAAAAATACTCGTGCCTAATTTAAGCAACAACAACAATTCTTGATTCAAAAAGTGAAGGATGTCTCCATTGTTTTGTTCATCATCATTTAATTCATTAATTTATTTGAACTTGCCAAAACCAGAATTTAAAAGAAAAAATAGAAATGTAAAATTAGGAAAATATTCGACTCATTATTTAATAGAAAAAAGAACTTTTATTCCTCTTGGCTTGGATTAATAATTTGGATTTTTGATAAAAAACAAATATTGCTCTTATAGGCAGATGAGCATACGGCCCACCTGATGGTGAGTGGTTACCGTCGCCCATGGACTTCAGCAAAACAATTGCAGTATATAATTCAATTACTTCTAGTCTGTAATTCTGGGTATCTAGGGCATAAGGTCAAATCTATTTTTTATCAAAACCTTATATTTGGTTCGAAATACCAGCTTATTATTGTTATTGTTATATTATTATTTCATACGCGATAGAAAATAATATTTGCGCTTTTTGTAGTGACATTCGTTAAAATATTCACAGTGCACAATCTAATTTAACAGGGCATCTTAAAGATATATTCATCTCTTTCCAACGCTAAATCAAATGAAGACCGCAAGACAGAGAAGTCTAAGGTTTGCTTAACCGCACCGCAAGAGAAATACGTACGAGTTGTTTTAGATCTCGTTCGTACTAAAGATGTAAACTGTATAAAAATTAACATGAAATAAATTTAGCTAAAGCAGTAATTAGATCTACATATTAAGACATTGCGTTGTGAATTGTGTGATAAATAGGTTGGGGAAAAAGTCTTTTCGCAATATAGTATGTATGAACTTGTAATAAAATCTCTTTGGCTATACTATTTATATCTGGCTGGTTTTGGTATCATTAAAAGTCTAAAGATGAGTTTAGTATCATTAAATTTTAAAGAAGATAATTCCAAATTCGAATTAGGAAAATGTGTTATTTTTAATTATTTTTCGTACTGTCAAGATGAGTGACTCTAATTAAGAAATTCGATACATTTTAAAATTTTACTACAAAAAAGGTAAAAATGCACCGCAAGCCGCGAATTTGCAATGTTTATGGACCTAGTGCAGTGTATGTGAGAGTAGTACAAATTTGGTTTAAGCGTTTTCAATCCGGAAATTTTATGATGATGCACGTCGCTCTGGTCGCCCTATTACGGATAAAATGGATGCCTTTTTTTTTAAAAGTGGAGCAAGATCGGTATATCAGTAGTCGCGACGTAGCTGAAGAACTGGGAATTGACCACAAAACAGTTTTGGCATATTTGAAAAAAACTGGGTACACAAAAAAGCTCGATATTTGAGTACCTCACCAGCTCACTGAAAGAAACCTAATGAACCGTGTACTCGTTTGCGATTCTTTATTACGACGTAATGAAACCGAACCATTTTTGAAGAAGCTGATAACTGGTGATGAAAAGTGGATCACGTTCGACAAGAACGTGTGAAAAAGGTCGCGGTCAAAGGCCGCTCAGGCATCACAGCCTGTGGCGAAACCCGGGTTAACTCGCAACAAGGTGATGCTGTGTGTGTGGTGGGATTGGAAGGACATTATTCATTATGAGCTGTTACCACCAGGTAGAACCATCGATTCTGAACTCTACTGCGAACAACTGATGAGATTAAAGCAAGAAGTTGAGAGAAAGCGGCCGGAATTAATCAACAGAAGGGGTGTCGTTTTTCATCATGATAGCGTTATCTAGCGTTAGACCTCACACATCTTTAGCCACTCAGCAAAAATAATTTTTGTACGCTTGGCTGGGAAGTGTTAATGCATCCGCCGTATAGTCCTGACTTTGCACCTTCAGATTTCCACCTGTTTCGGTCTCTTCATAATTCTTTAAGCAGTGTCAGGTTAACATCACGAGAGGACTGCCAAAACCAATTGTCGCGGTATTTTTATCAGAAGCCCCAAAATTTCTATAGCATGGATCATGTCCCTACCTACAAGATGGCAAAAAGTTATCGAACAAAATGGTACCTACATAGTTTAGTTAAATGTAAATAAATTATATTAAAAAATTGAAAGAATTTTCTTAAAAAATGCGAAGACAATTTTTCCACAACCTATTATGTACTTTCTTTTTCTTTGTGTTTAAGATCTCGATCCGCTGATCATGCGATCATCTCACCGATAACAGCAGTACAATAAATACAATATTATAATAACATTTTGAAAAATTTCATTTTAAAAAATTATACCTGTAATCATGAATGCTATTTACCTCTAACGTCGTAAAAGAATAAATCAAATACATTTACAACGTTCACCTGGTTTACGAAAAGAAATAACATTATAATTATGTTAAAAAATTAGACACGTACTGTTACTGAAACAGAAAAAGACATGACATTTCGAGATAAAACACAACAAGCTGGCAACCATTCACAGAGCAGTCGAAGGAATCGCGAAAAGTCCTTCAATAATGGAAATATCTACATCGATGAGACTTGAGAAGGCCTTGACAAAGACAAAGAAATTGTCTGGCGTGACGCCAGTTCCTCGTTCCCTCCAAAACCTTACTCCGGCCACTAACAAGTACGAAACTGGGAAGAAGCGAACCGATCAAAGATTGCTCTGTTTCAAAACGAGGACAATGCAAAGTTTTGTTGTTCGAAACGATAGCGGCTTCCAGAATAAAAATGTAAATTCGAATTCGAATTTCGTGTGGTCCCGCGCTACCGTATTCGAATTCGAGACAAGTCTGCTTTTACAGTCAGACTTCAGATTCAATCGGCCTCCATCTTTAAGCTTTATTGTAATTTAGTGCATCGCAATGTGGATCGTCATTTGAACTAAACGCTTGCTGTTCCAAAGGAACGTCGCGCTTTGTTTGCAAAACAAACAAAATGAAGAATTTACCAACACTATCGATCTTATTCTTGATCCAGTACAGGAGTTACGCTCTAATTTATATTTTATTTATTTATTGCTTTGATGGGTGGACAAGCTCACAGCCCACCTGTTAAGTGGTCACTGGAGCCCATAGACATCCACAACGTAAATGCGCCACCCCAAATATTATACATATTTCTATGTTATTATGTGCTAACTATAAATAAAGTATTTGAACAAAGTAATTGTATAAAATTGAAGTCGTTGTGACCTAAAAGATAAGGCGTCCGGTACCTTGTAATGCACAGGTGTTCGAATGCCGCAGGCGGGTACCAATTTTTCTAATGAAATGCGTACTTAACAATTATTCACGATTGACTTCCACGGTGAAGGAATTAATATCGTGTAATAAAAATCAAACCCACAAAATTATAATTTGCGTAATTACTGGTGGTAGGATCTCTTGTTAGTCCGCACGGGTAGGTACCACCACCCTGCCTATTTCTGGCGTGAAGCAGTAATCCGTTTCGGTTTGAAGGGTGGGGCAGCCGTTGTGACTATACTGAGACATTAGAACTTATATCTCAAGGTAGGTGGCGGCATTTACGTTGTAGATGTCTATGGGCTCCGGAAACCGCTTAACACCGGGTTGGCCGCGACCTTTTCCACCCACCTACGCAATAAATAAATAAAACTAAAGCATTTTATAACGACTCTATTAAAAGCAAATTCAATTCAATTATTTATTGTTAATGAATGGTAAAACGTCTCGTGTAACTCTCTCTGACGTATGGACTTCGTAAAACAGATGGCTCCTGTAACCGAAAAGTTCTCAAGTGGCGACTGCGCACCGGAAAGCGCAGAGTGGGTTTCCCAGGTTCTCCTATGAAATGAACTCATGTCCTACTAAGGATTCCGGTATTCCGCTGGATGCAGGCTGCGCAAAACTGCTTATTATGGCGTTTTTTTTTTTTTTTTTAATAAATAAATAAATATTTACTAACAATCACGCCACGTTAACTGGTCCCATGCTAAGTTCCTAAAGAACTTGTGTTACAGGTACCAGATAACGGAAATAAATGTAATATTTTTATTATACACATACATATATTAAATATACATCCATAACCCTGGAAAATATTTTTTTATATTTATCATACAAATATCCTCCCTTGGCGGGATTCGAACCCGCGACCCCCTTGTGTAGTGACCATGTCACTTACCACTACACCAGACGGCCGTTATTAGATGACATTAGATGACATTAGATGAGGACTATGTCCAGCAGTGGACGTTTATGGGCTGATGAAAAAAATAAAGCTCAGGCTTTCATCCGCTGCAATATTAGAGCGCGTGAGTGCTATTGTTGACTCCAAAAGTGAAACGCTGTCATTGCGGACTTATTATACAAAATATGAAAATCCTTCAAAAATAGCTTTTATTTTACTTACCTAAGTCTTCGGCATCTTCACTCCATTCCCCGCTACCCGCAACCAGCGCAGTCGAGACCATGGTCAAGAAGATGTGTCTCAAAGCCGATTTCATTTTGTTTGCATATTAACAAAGCTTCCACATTTAAATCCAGTTAGCACTATATTCTATTTTAAAATTTGGCAACATTATTACACACTAATCTATCTCTTAGAATTTATTTTAAAATTATTATTATTTTTCTCACCAAATCAATGGCAACCTTGAAATTAATAATTATAATTCGTAATTTAAAAGGTAATTTTAATGAGCAATCAAAATAGGTGTGTTCGTTGTATTTAGATTTTTTTCAACTACGTTTTATAAGCTTCAGGTTTCGTTGCCAACAAAACATTTCGGCTCGTGAAAAACAACAGTTTGTATACGGGTCATTTCTCTAATCTTTCCGACATTATACAACTTTTTTTTTCCAGTTTGTAGGCGAAGTGACGTCACGCACGAAGTCCCGAAACACGGTTAAATATTCCAATGAATAATTCAGCGCTCTTTTAGCGACGCCGCTCGCTCGAAGAGACAGTGGACACCTGCAACAAAATGTATTGTCAGTAATTTGTGCTCGCTGAAATTTTAAATCTAACCAAGTGGACTGAGGTCGGTGTTCGTACTATATTTTGTACTGCTTTTATGTTTATGTATATTTAATTTATTTTTTTATTTATTCAACTTACTGCACATAAGTACAATGGCGGACTTAATGCCTGAGGCATTCTCTACCAGTCAACCAAGGGTGGTGTAGAGAATCCTGTGGTAGGTGCATAACTTAATGTGAAACAACCAAACTACATTATACAATATACAAATTTAGTATATAATATAGAGTATATATACGAGTAGTTATATAATATAGTATGAAATAATAGCAAAAAAAAAACCTGTGACACTCGGAGACTGCCGCGGTAATAAAGCTATTGCATTGCATTTTTTAACAACTTATGCGATTATAAACATTATATAACATTTTTATCATATTATAAAACATTTTTTTTTTTGGTATAAGAACGACGTACTTCCACTATTTTATACAAAATACAAAATATTTACACACACATTCTTCGTTTATCGCTCGTTTTTTTGTGATCGTCGTATTAAAATCAGCTCTGCCGTAGCAAACGTAGCATGCAGCTACGTACCTGCTACGATCCGGCAACGATGTAGCTAGTTCGTAGCCCATCGTAGCAAAGTTAAATAATATCTTATCAGGACTATTTTAAATAAAATCAAAATTCTTAGTTTCATTGATAAGTCTTGATAAAATATCTCCATAAAACTTTATATTATTTTCTGCGAAAATATCGGTTCACATTTACGCGTACAAAAGTCAAGCTAACCAAAAATCAACATGAACAATAACAAAATAAATTCAATTCTGAACAGATATATTGTTAACATGGAAAATGTTTTTTTTTTACTTTCAGAAGCTGTGAATAAAGATAGAAACATCATAAAGGGAACGAGCACCAACTTTCATAAAAATAATCCAATGAAAAGGCAAGATCTAACAACTTTTTCTACAATTTTCCCGGTGCAATCCCATGCTGCTGTCCGGGTACTCTGTTTATTTTAAAAAGGATTCTTCCGGGGCAATTTACAAAAGCTTTCAGCGAACAAATCTTTCATCAAAGGAGACTAAGCGACTCCCGAAAGCCTGTCAGTTCCGCTAATATGGTTTAAAGACAATATGCACACGTTTTCTCGTGCAAAATCTCCCTAACATTTTTTGATGTGTAGAACATAAAACATATCACTTTAGATTGATAATAATAGTTACTCTTTTTTTTGTTTATAATACTTTTTTTAATAATTGTGCCTGGGAAGTTTTGGTGTCGTTTTTTGTTTTTATTCGTTATAATAGGCAGACGAGTTGGAAAACCATCTCGGATTAGCCCATAGAAACCAGAATGTATTGCTATAAAATATAAATACCAAGTTGTCACAACAATATTTTTATTACAGGGGCCTAATATCCTAACAAAAAGTCCGTAATTAAAAAACAATCCTCTTACTATGAAACTGAGATTTTTTTAGTATTTTATCTTTATTGCATAAAGGTGTCAGCGAACTCACATTTCACCTGGTATTAAAAGGTCGCCGTATCCTTTTTTTGAGCCCTTGAAGGGCCTAACCTCATCTCCGCCCGAGGTCAGAACCCGGGCAGAGTAGGGGGGTTCCCGCGGTCAACACTACAACCAGAGTCACGGCGCCACCCCTAGGACGCCCAACCGACGGGTCGTCGAGGCGATAGTCGACCAACGACGCCGGTCTCCGCAGTGAGAGGGCCCTACCAGGCCGCCCGGGCGATGCCGCAGGTTTTCCGGGATACCCCGCTAGGCCAGAACCAGCCTGCCGAGTCGGAACGCGATACACCGCCAACCAGAATTCTGTCCTATCCTATCTCAACTTAAATGCCCCTACTGACCTTGAGATAAGACGTCAAAATCTCAATAGTATCGGCGTTATCCGATTGTCCTTCAAACTATAATTACTTCACAGTATAAATGAGCAGGTGCTGACTACAGTACAGGCCAGCAATACCTACCACTACCAGCATAAATCGCGAGAAATACCTATCTTATAATCTATATATCAATATGTAATTATATAGGCTTACTGCAAGCAGATTTATCTTGCTTCATACTTCACGGAATGGAAATCGTCACCCATATATAACTAGTCAGGTCATAAGTATTGTCACACAGTAAAAACTTTTCTTTTAGAATGCTGGCCACAAAAAAGTTTATTGAATTCGAATTTCGAATTGTTCATGAAAATAAAAATGTATACTTTTAGAATTTTACTCATTTTTAAATATGGAGTGGACGCTTAAAGAAGACCGTGTTGCAGTTATTGCGTTGCATCGTTGCGGTTACGCGCCAATTCAAATTTTTAACATACTGAAAAATTTGAATATAACCAAAAGATTCGTTTATCGTACCATCAAACGATACAATGAATACTCTAGTGTAGATGACAGGTCAAGAAGTGGTCGCCCTCGGTCTGTTAGGACTCCAGCAGTGATAAAAGCTGTGAAGGCGCGAATTCAAAGAAATCCCAAACGTAAGCAGAAACTGTTGGCCCTTCAGATGGGGTTAAGCAGAACCACGGTGAAAAGGGTGTTAAATGAAGACTTAGGGCTTCGGGCATATCGAAGAAAAACAGGACATCGTTTGAATGCTCGTCTAATGGACCTGAGACTGAAGAGATGCCGCGCTTTGTTGAAGCGGTACGCGGGAAAAAAATATCGGGAAATT